TGCGACATCAGCTATCACGGGCCGCCACAAGCCTGCCTTCAGGAATGTGAAAAGGGTTACCCTGGCAACTATTCAAATGACAGACACGCTGGTATGAACATATACAAAGCAGCTTATAACCCGAAGATATATAAATCCAAGTTTAAAGGTACTGAGTAATATAAATATTTTGAACACGAATTGCGGAATGACCTAAGAAACTGGTTGTAGAGGCTTTTGTGTGTGTGTGGGGGGTATATCAAATTGTTACACAACATGGTGCCGGCCGGGGGGAATGTCTAGCTGAGCTGCAGGGGGAAGTATTTTCCTGTGATAATTCATTTGGACTTTTTTCCTGATTGTTCTCATCTTTTTAGATCTTTCATCAACAGCCATAGATAACTGTGTGCATTTCAGCATTAAAAGCATATTGTTGCGTAGGTGAATACATTTTCTTCAACTTTTTTTCCCTTTAAAGGAAGCAAAGTGTATGAGGTAGGGTATACGACTGACCAGATCAAGACGGAGATCATGACAAATGGACCCGTCCAATCTGCCGTGCTTATTGATAAGGCATTCACCAAGTACAAATCAGGTATAGTACCTGGAAGGAAACAGTTTGCTGCCCTTCACGGCGTGTGTAACGTGCTGTATAGATGGTTATAAGTATAATCTAGCAGTGGAAAATTACCGTCCACTTTATGTCGTCCACTTGTAGTTCACCTTGACCAGTTCAGTTATTGGCAGTAAATTTGTTACCCGACACTTACGCGATGGGTTGCTTTTATTCCACAACGAAATATTTCTGTCACGTCACCTGATGTTGATAAATACGCTCAATGTGATAAATCTGTGTTTCAATTAAACATGTAATTCTACAGTATACAGGCCTTCGCAATGCTCCGTATGGCAAGAAAAATTGACATTTAATCTGAAATAGAGATATCTCTATTAGAAATAGTTGATTCTTCAATGGTTTGTTGTATTCTGCACTCTATATTGTTGTATTCTGCACTCTATATTGTATTCTGCACTCTATATTGTTGTATTCTGCACTCTATATTGTTGTATTCTGCACTCTATCAGAAATAGAGATATCTCTAGGAGAGATAGAGATACATGTGTGTCTAAACTTTTCATGCTATAGCTCTGGAAGTGGTTTTCCCTTACAGAAAACTCTTGTATTCTTTTTATCGAGGTCGACGTGGTAACATTTACATAAGGTAGTTATAAGAACATTCCATTCGTTCAGTTATTTCAAATCTTGATAGAAAATGTACATTACAGTGTCATTTTTGTGCATGTGTTCAGCAAAAAAACCAATGGTGACCTCAAGCAATTTATGTATTCACGTTTTCCATGGGAGTTTAAGTTTGTAAGTTGATTTTTCCCTAGGCGTGTATACTCCATCGAAAGCAACGATTCAGGAGCTCTTTGTTAAGATCATTGGATGGGGCCACGACCCAGTACAGGGAGACTATTGGCTGTGCGTTAACTCTTGGAACACGGACTGGGGCAATCAAGGTCAGATTTTACCAAACAAACCCTAAAACGGTAAAAATAAAAATAATATGATGTGACGGCACCTTGGTGGTGTCCTCGCGCGCTAAGTTTCCACCGTAGGCCTTAAAGTTGAAACGAAGAAAAATCCGTACTTCGATTGGATGTATTTCATTCATGGTCAGCTATTTTGCGAACAATGTTGTGTTTCTTGTTTAAGTTATAAGGAGAAAACGAGCCACTGATAATAGGCCTACGTGGTATGCACAGAGACAGTGCCGTAAGCAACTGATGCGCGCCTGCACACTAGCTGACGACTATCATCTACGCAAACAGTTGGCAACATTGAGTTAATCGAACTTCCACTATAGTCGCGTGTCGTCAGTGACTTTCCAGCGGTGCCTTTTGTATCGCTTCATGAAGGTATAAAAACTGTATACTGTGCATTATCGCATGAAAAGCGCACGTGAACCAGCGAAATCCAAGAGCCCCCACTCGGCTGCAGTAGTAGGGCTACAATGTCGTCTTTAACAATTTGTAGTTTCCCCTAGCCTAAATCGATAACATTTCCCCCAGGGCACTTTTGGATTTTCCATTGTTCGTTACAACGTGTTAGTTGGTGTAAGTTATCTGCTTTTGAATTTTTGCAGGGACGTTTAAAATCCGACTGGGTGAGACTGGCACGTTCATCAACGACTTCGTATACGCGGGAATACCGTGATGTCTTTACTTCGTGATACGCACGCCCCTTGATTAGAATTTATAACTTAATTAATTTCGTAAAGGCTACTACATATATCGCTAACATTGAATCTTATGGGAGTTCACGAAACGGCATTTGTTGGACAACAGACATTCGAGGTTTCTATTACACTTCTATCATGAAGATGATTATCAACGTGTACATTCAATACCACAAATGCACGAATAAATCAATTTTCAAAGAATAATGACGTAATTCAAGTTAGGCCTATTATCAAATTTCACATTCAAATCTTCAATAAATTTTTGCCTTGTACCAAAGGACAACAGGGCCCAATTAAATGAGGGGACTGGCGTATTTTTAGACTAGGGTATGCAAGTTGTTTTTACTGGAGTACTTTGGTTACATTTTCGGATGTTTTTATATTTTGCTTGTATGATTTTTCGCTCCAGGATTGCATTATTATATGAATCAGCCAGAAATGTAACAAGTTTCTGTTTGATCGTTATTTGTGACATCCGCATAAATGTAACAGCTTCATAGAAGTAAAACATTAGTGGTAAAAATCTAAGTAATAAAGGTATGTTAAATTAAAACAACGGAATAAGAAAGATTTTCGAATGATCAGTTCTTTGATTTCAGCATAACATTCCCCCTTTGTTCGTCTTCTTGTTCCGTTTCAGTGTTACTGCCATCGCTATTATTATAAGCCAAGGGTAAAATTACGCGTGTCATCAGCGTAAAACCGGTTGGATTCAACTGTAAGCTCTGTTCTGATAATGGTTGAATTGAACTCAGATGAACGTATAGGCCGAATACGTTTAATTATGTTGAATTGTTTCAGAATTTTCCATAAGGATGCAGGAGTGATCAGCCATAGGGACACTTATTGCTAAATTGACTATTAACTGTGGTACGCCAAAAATGTGTTTAAAACAAGGAAACAAAACGAAGATACCAAGTTTTCACCATGAAATCTCACTAAACTCTATTCACCCCACGCACCCGTGGCGGCTGTGACAGTCGTGAGCCCCAAAATAGAATGTCTACAAACCCAGTGGCGTGTAACTAGAGCTAAAAGTTTGGTGGACACGCGGTGTGCACAATTAAGACAATAAGCTGCAGTTACATAGCTAAACAAAGTCAACGGAGACTGTTCACAGATCTCAAATTGGGGGCATGCGAAGAGGGCACCGACATTCGTTGGGGGGGGGCACGTGTCCCAGTGCGCCCCCCCCCCCCCGTAGTTACGACCACCACGGTTTGGTTTCTAGGCTGTTGAAGTTGAAGTGAACTGAAGTGAAGGAAGTATATCGCCACGTTCATTCAGTGGGTATTATTCACCACTAATTTTATAACACTTCCTCAGCATTCAGTAGATTTAAAATTCAAACTGTATACCGACATGGACGGTCCAACCTTCGGACTAGAACTGGAGCAAAAGCAAAGCAAGGGAGGTTATCCTAGATACAATGTTATCTTGATAACTAAGCCATTAACTCATATGAAACACCTCACGTGCAAATAGGACTTCAGTAATATCAGTTTTTGTTCATAAATAGGGAGTAACTGCATTGCCAAAAAAATTCAGTACCCAAAAGGTAGGGGTGTTTTTCACATCGGAGTCCTTTTTGCTAACCATTGGCTGGCATTTTGACTATGCCTGTCTTTCAGTACAAAAGTGCAAAATAATTCACTAATTAAATGTGAAGATGAAAATCTTTAGGAGCTATCAGATTGCCAAATAATAAAGCCTGCTACGAATTTAAAATGGTATGTCCCGTCTTCGAAAGTATTTAGGCAAACGTACATTTTGAGGTTTTAAATCTGACACCAACTGTGGGTGATGTTTTCTGCAAACTTTGGACGGCCAAATGAGAGCGGTCTATTTTAATGCCGTGTTTAGCAAACACAGTGATGCGGGCATTTATCAGCGACCAATCTGTCCAGCAAACAAATTAGTACCTGCAGTGACGAGAGAGAAGTCGCGCACTCCGACAGGTCAACTTCATTATGGGCCCCGAGCTTGACCAAGAGAGGGCGCAATTTTCCTATGAAATGGAGGCTCTAAGCTCTGGTTCACGAACGAATATGAAACGGCGCAAGCGTTACAGTCGCATCACTCCCAACAAAAATGAACACACCTCACCAACATGGCTGTTTTCAACCGATGACGTGGTGCTTCGCTCCCCCAGGCGGATATCCTGACGGATGCCAACACGTTCTAATCTTTTATGACACACTTAAGCGTTGACTTCAGATCATTGTACATTTTGCTCCTTGGAGGTTCACCGGTCGTCAACGGTTCATTTTCACGTTCTCACTACGACATTATCCCCCCAAAAAATATAAATTGTGAGAAAAAATGGATGCATCATTATTTCCCCAACAAACAAAAAGTCAACGGATGATTGGTAAACATCTCGCAATATTTGCTTTTCAGAATAGAAATTAGAGGTGTGTACATATAACGGTCCAACAAAACATTTAAATTTTGTTGTCACGTCATAACACTTTCTTTATAACTGAATTTAAACAAATCCAAACCAATAATAATTGAATTATACATTGTATTGAACTTTGGCATTCTGAAATTGCACCTTCTGTACAGCACCACATTACTAGACTAGATAAAGAAAAAAGAATATTGTTTACAAACAGCACTCGTGATTACTTTTGGGTTTTAACGTATGGAGTTTGAACTTCTTGGTTAATCATAATACCATGGTTCCGCTGTGCACTTTTAAGCAAAGTGGGTTCACAGACTGAAATGCAACTCTCTGTGGTTGTTGTCAGGGCCACATTTGCTGTGTACCTTTCGTAAACACCGAGAACTGGCACAGGATTGAAAGGTAAGGAAGCTTAAATTTGACATCTTCCTCCCGGAATGTGAGAAAGTAGACCAGATTAATCAACATAACCCTTCTCATTCTTGGAACAGAAAATTCTCAGTATGTCTCATGAGATGTGATCAAGATTTATTTGGTATTTTTTGGTCTAAGCACAAGTGCCCCTCGATCATGATTGAAGTTGGCCCAGGCTATAGGTTTAACAAGGTACCACATCATTTGATCCTAGAGCATGAAGTGTTTCCTCGTTGGTCTGTTCGGTCTCGTGACCCTGACGTCAGCTCTGCCGTTGACGTCACTTCAGCAAGATTTCGCCGAATACTTTGCTGATCTAATCAACCGGATTAACGCCTTGAATGCCACCTGGAAGGTAAAATGACAACTACTACTGTTTGAGGACGTGAAATAAATTGCAGTATAGACTGCAATTATAACTCTCATCGCGTTGGGAAGGGGATTGTCAATTAAATAAGCAACCGGTACACTTTCCTGGCAAACATCAGTATTTCTGGAAGTAATAAATCCAAAAAAATTTGGTATTTTAGTATCCAATTTTCTAAAGATCGAAGTAATCATTAGTGTCGGATCCCCTGAACTTTGACAAACGGTCCAGTGCACATTCCACAGCATCCTCGTTCCCATGGGTTGCGTGCACGTTCATTCAAGATCGAGCTAGGCACGGGTGGGAACCAACACGACGCAGCAAAATCATAACTGTGGGAAAGAGGTAGATAGAGTCCATCGAGGCAGATACACCAAACTCTGACCACTATTCTCCCTCCAAAAAGTACCCTACATCCTGTGCACTCTTCGTCTAACGGAGAGCAGTGGCCGAAACGCCCAGTCAGTGAGCGTTTAATCTTGCTCTGCATGTACAACACAAATGATTTTCCCCCTCACTCGTGAACATTAGGCCGGCCCAAACTTCGCCGGAGAAACCGTCCAGTCAGTGTTGGACCGCATCGGCCCGGCCGAGGTAGACTTTCCGCCGCCGGAGGAGAAACCTTCACTGCCTGCAGTTGTCCACGACGTTGATATACCTAAAGAGTTTGACGCTCGCAAGAATTGGCCCCAATGTCCATCCATCGGCCGCATCTCGGACCAAGGGCGCTGCCGTTCGTACTGGGTAGGCTTGTTTCACAAGTGTAGACAAACAACTGGTGGTTTTTTAATGTTATTTTGTAGCATCAGCTCCAAACCTGGTACACTTCATTTCCAATTGAGTTTTCAATAAGCGATAAATGTCAATACCGTATAAAACACTCTTTTCACTTTGGCTTTGTATTAAAATAATTCATCCGGAGCCAAAGTGTCCCCCAAACTTCAATTTCTAGATGCCGCAGCAGGTGAAAGTACCATGCACCTCTCGGATACCCCAAAGCTTCCCAGATCAGGTGAAGTATATCACGCTGAAGAAAGAGCATGATTGTAAGTTCATGCAAATGGCAGGCATCGATTACCCGGTTTTTGAAATTTTATTGGCTGCTGCCACCCAGCTCCTGAAATTTCATTGGTTGCTGCTACTTGGCTTCTGAATCTAATAACAATACCAACTTTAGTTTCTAACCTCATGGTGGCCACACCATTTCTGGGATGGTTTTCAATGAGCAATCAATGGAAACGTGACATGCGAGGATACACAACTTTCAATTGAAATAACAAGTAGATGAGGATGTAGCGGTCAGTTTTCGAGGTGGGATGAAAACCCTAGATGAACAAGCAAGAGAGAAAACCCACCGGATGTAGGGACTTGAAACCCAATCCACATGTCGGCTGCAACGAGATTCCAACACAGGACGCAGCGGTGTTAAATGTAAGGCGAGGAAAGTATCATTGCGCCAACCTGACTCCCCTGATTTCCATTGTTACTGGTGCAAAGTTCATGGGTTCCATTATTCCTTGCATAGACCGATCAGTCTCAGTTTAGTTACAAACACGTATTTACTATCTAATAGCCTTTAACACCTTGGACAAAATTCCTGAGCTTAAGTCTACTGACCGCTTAACTGAGACAAGACATTAATTGGGACAGGTCTGTTATGAGAACTACATTGCCACTTAAGTCTATTTATTCCGAAATATATTATTCCGAAACGTTCGCGTTTGGTTTGCATTTAGAGTCACCATTTACGGTGGTTTTATAAGGTTAACTCATATAGTTTGCGGCGGTACAGGCCTGTACCTTTTTGTTTTTCTCTTCAACTCAGGCTTTTGCTGCGGTGGGGATGATTGACGATAGATTCTGCATTTCTCAAGGCGTGCATGTCAACATATCAGCGGAAGACGCATTGTCATGCAGTGAAGATATGCAGAAGAACGGGTATTCCCCACCGATTTCAAATTCTTCACGTAATCGTAAATCGATGGTATACAGCTAAATGAGAGCTTGATATTTCATCCGAGTATTACTCACGCCAAATCCCAGCCCATAAATTATGTTCGTTTAATTAAGTATTCACCTTGGGTGGGTTAAAACTCTAGATCATATTACTTGGCTCGATGGACCTTGTTCACGAGGAAGCCATCTTTCTTCTCGTTACCTAATCATGTTTTAGCAACTAAAAACTGTTGAATGGATCCTAACCAGACTATTAATGATAAGCGTGAATCAATTTTTTTTTCAAAATACTGAACATTTTCATATTACATATTGGAAGTCATTAACTGAGAGCAGACAGTATTTTGCTGTAAAGTTTCATTTTTTCTCTCATACCCCCCAAATAGAGTGTTAATCTCACTCCAAATTTTAATGGTCGACTCATGAATAGATTCTCTTCTTATGATGCTCAAAACATGATCTACAGAAAGAAAATCCACCTGTCTCCCAATGGAGAGGCGAAATTGCGGCACAGTGTGCTTGCTTGGAAATGATTGCCAACCGCACTTCATGATTTTTCTCGTCTCTTAGTTGTGCTGGCGGCAGGCCTTCCATTGCCCTGGACAGCTGGTCAAAACAGGGTCTTGTGACCGGCGGGGCCTTTAACAGTAACGCCGGTTGCAGACCCTACCCCTATAAGCCATGTGACCACCATGAAAAGGGGACCTATGGCCCATGCACAGCCCCACCTTCCTTGACGTTCTGTGACAAGATCTGTCGGGCTGGCTACCCGAAGGAGTACAATCAGGACAAACACTATGGTAAAGTTCAAATTTCTAGCGAGAAATTAAGATGATGTAGAATTTTAACTGCCTTTCCCCCTTACTTATTCCCGACTTTCACAGCACTTTGGCACAATGCATCATGTGACTTAGCACCTAATGCATTTCAGAGGGTTTTACCATAGAGGAATGACACAGAAGGAGTTTAACTGCCCAGGCTTTAACATCTGGCCAATTACCGCTTTCTTGCGTGCCTGGTATGTCCATAGCCAGTGCGCAGCGAACGCTTGCTACGCACCATCTGTTTCACAACCACGAAACCCCTTTTTGCCCTATCGCCCCCGCAATTTGTCGCTGGTAATCTACAACCTTACAACTTTGTGCACAGAGGTATAGGAGAATGAATATTCGTGAATTTGTTGGTGCTTGATATGATCTCATGACAACATCAAATTTAATGTTTGCGCAGTTACTTGCATTATACTGAGTGCCCTAAATCTATACATGCAGTCATTACGTCGTCACTTAAACAGAATTTGACGGTACGTTACGTAACTCTGACCTTCGAAACGACGGCAAAAGTCTTCTTTTGTATGTAAAACAATATTACCCCATTGAGAGCTTTCTTCTGGAGTTATTTTGGGACTAAATAGCTTGGTTGTTAACAAGATTTTGTGTTTTGTTTGAATCATTTTTTATTATGGCATTTGCACAAAGGAGTATTTTATGAGATTCCACGATCACTCCCTGTGATGAAATAGCGCATTTTGTTACTTGTGAACTTAGCTTTCCAGTAAAAGTCAACATTTTTGTTGGCCAGTCTTAGCCAAATTTTTACCAAGTCTTTGAACACTGATGTATTGGAGGGAAGAGAAAAAAATACAAACTTTACATGGGTAATGGAACAATGTATCAACATTTTAAAAGTTTATGTATGATGGCAAAAGTAGGTCAAATATCAGGGATGTTTCTCTCTCTATTTCCTGGTCACAGCAATAATTTGTATTTTATTGCAAACAAAAAACTACAAGTACAGTATTACTAGGATATTACTGGCCCCGCTTGTCCGGCTAAGATACAGGCAGTGATCAGGCATTTTTAGAATGTTTTCTATTATTCGTCTGACTTGGCGGCGACCATCATTGAACATTTTGAAGTGCCAGAGTTGCAACTCCTGTGTCCTTCCTCTATGTTCACACTAAATACCCTGTCCATACGCACTACATGTCAGTTTTGATTAATTAAGAACGAGAGATACCCGAGTAGCCGAGTGGCACAGACAAAGGTCTATACAAAGCTTAGGAGTACAAAATGGGTCCCTTTCACTTATTGAGGTCTGGAATGAATGGGATCATTGGCTTAACCTTTTTTGCATATAGGATCCGTCTACTCTGTGGACCACTCCGAGGAGAGCATTCAAAAAGAAATCATGACAAATGGATCTGTGACGACATACATAGTCGTTTACCAGGATTTCCCCATCTATCGATCAGGTACACATTATGAAGCAAAATATGAGACGGAGAGAACCCCCCCCCTTGTGTTGACTATTGTCTCACTGGAATCTGAGGAATTCTTTTCAGACATCTAGGGGGATGTGTTAGGTGGCAACAGTCTATATAGTGTGTATAGCGATTGGACATGTGGGGGCTGGTCTCATTTCTTGCTGGATATAATAGAGCACGTTTGCATATTCGTCTGCATCACCACCAATGATCCAAGGGGAACTCCTTCCTTTACGTACAGTTGCCCGGGATTTAAGCCCTTCTTGACCTCTTCGTGGCGGCACTCTAGCAACCATTAGATACAAAGAGTAACATTTTACCGTTCTGCGATATGAGTAATGCAATGGTTAACAAAATTATCAGGATCATTTTGTATCAGCAAAAATACACTTTTCTTCATTCTTTCATCCCCTTTCCCGTTGTTTCGGTTTGCTGTACAAACATTAGGCGTTTACAGGCACACATCAGATAAAGCTATTGGCAGAAGCGCCCTCAAGATACTTGGCTGGGGTGACGAGGGTGATCAGAAGTATTGGCTGTGTGCCAACTCTTGGAATACTGAGTGGGGTGACAAAGGTAATTCAGTTTGCGTTACGAAGAAAAGAATATGGCGACAAATATTACACTTTGAAAACTGCTTAATTTTGGTGCAAAATTTGTTTTATTGTTTGGTGCAACGAGGCCAGTTCGCCAGAACACGGCAATCCTGTCATTCAAGTACCACTTCCGAAAAAAGTTAAAACTAATAAATATACTAACGGCTTGTTATTTTATTACATCTTATTATCGGGTCTGTCAGAGGTGATAAAATGAGCCGATTTCACAATGATCTGATTTCCATTGTAATAAAACATTTTTCCCATTTTTTGCCCAAAGGATTCATCAAGATCCTGCGAGGTATTAATGAATGCCAGATAGAGGAAACTGTGATGGCAGGAACACCACAGAAACCTGGGACCTGGTAGAAACCAACAAGACATGCTAGCCAGGAATTACGAACAAAGACTACTACGAGACAAACTCTCCCAATTTCAATTAGCACATGTTAAAGAACTGATCCGTTAAATACACCGTATTCATTGCATTTTTGCGGTCAACTTATGTTGAATTCCTTAGATATGGGCACAATTAGCTCTCGAACAAAGTTGCAGAGGGGTCGTCAACTTCGATTTTTTTTAAACTTAAAAAAAAGATGATTTATGAATCAACACATTTCTATTCATTGTTGCGACTGCTATTACTTCTTATTTGCTCCAACAAACATTCCCACTGTTAACCATTAAGAGTCATGATGAGTGTCATTTGTGAACAAGGTGGGAAAAAGTCATCAGTTATGTCTTTTTTTGTGTGTTCTGGACTAACAACGGCACGACGAATTCTGGTATGGCAGTTCAGAGCCACTGTACCTTACCCACGTAAACTAAAGAGGGCGTGTATGCCATAGCCACGCCACGCGACAAGCACAAGGCGTAAAATCAGCTGATTTTTATTCTAATGAGGCGACTTGAAGTACAAGTAGAGTGCGTAGCTAGATATGCATGGAGGCGCCGTAGCGCTAGCGCCGGTGGAAGCGGGGAGTCTGGATTTCTCTTTAAAATCAAACTTCTGAGTCGTGAGTCTGAAGCGTTTGCTCATTTTGTCACCAAAGCAACCGCAGCAATGTTGTCCTTATGACTTGGTAGGTATTTCATCAGCAATTAATACTAGGTTAGTAGTGTCCCAAATGGGCCTTCCGACACCACGGGTTAGGCTAAGTTTGCATGTTATTCTGAAGAATGCTGCCCGCGACCGTCGACCAAGGACCTGTGCAACGTGCATCATGCATGTTTATGTACATTGTACATGTGTGATGTACGTGTAGGCTTGGCGGAAAGAGTTCCATGTACGAGCGCCGCTTGACATCCTGTGCACAAACGTTATGCGACTGGTCTGAAGTGTTTTCTAAGCATAGGCCTACAACTTGGTTTTCCCTAGCCCCACTAGTGTGGCACAGACTCTCACTCCCGATCCATCCTTAGCCACACATCCGTATACCATGGAGGTATACGCAATTTCGTGTCGGCGTACTGAATATTGTCGGCTGTTCAATGTCAAGACGTATGTAATACACGGACTAAGCGATAAGACACTACATGTACCAATGGACTCTTCCAAAACTTTGGCAGCAGTTTAGATGTCTTGACATGGAACAGCCGTCGAGACAATAAAGGGTCAAGTGACGTAATGTTCAACGACCTTATTTTAAAGATGGCGACTGTGAGAGTGAGCCCATTAATTGAATGGATAAAGGCAAAAAGACTGGAAAATACCTAAATAACGTGAGTGAAATCATTCAGTAAATGGTTAGAAAAGCGGAAAGGTCAAGGATCATGTCCATGTGCAAAAGAAATTGCGCCCACGATGATAAGTGGGTGCGCCGAAAACATTCAGTATGCTGACACGAAATTGTGTATACGGATGTGTGGCTAAGGATGGATCGGGAGTGAGAGTCCGTGCCACACTAGTGGGGCTAGGTTTTCCCCTCCTAAATTGAACGTGGAAAGAGTACAGGTTGTCTCTTGTTGTATATTCTCCTACCCCTGACGAATTACAACATGGGATTGCACTTGAATTAGTGAAGAGAAGCAGCCTTACATATTCCATTCTTGCACCGGCAAGGCTGTTGGCTGTCTCATTACAACACCTAAAATCAAGTGCTGGCAAACGAGTTCCTCGCAGATGTGCCAATTACACTGTCATCCTAGCTATTATTGTTTGTTGGGATATCGAACTCAATCCTGGGCCGACTCATTTGAAATCTGATCTGTGTCAAACACGTAGTAAACCTGTCCTGCAGTGGAAAAAAGGAATCTACTGCGAGGATAGTAACACCTGGTTTCGTGCAAAATGTTCAGGCATATCTGTTTGTGAGTATAAAATGCTCCAATGGTCTGCAGATCCATGGTACTAGCTGTAACACTTGGGGTTTCTGTGATGAATCTGTTCGGAATGCTGATGCAGCTGTGCAATGTTATACTTGTAACCGTTGGATTCATGCACTTTGTGCTGGAATATCTAAGTTAACATGCACCTGTTTGCAAACTTCTGACTCCCCCTGGACTTGTATGAGTTGTGAGCTTTCTTTGATAGTGATCCAAATTCCACTCGGAGAACTCAACTACATGAGCATGATAGGATTATACATGTACCTGGACGTTCAAAGAAAGCCAACTTGAAATGTCTCTTCATAAACTGTCAGAGTATTAGAGGGAAGACAGCTGACTTGACAGCTCTCATAAGTACATACATGTATAAACCTGATATCATCTGCGGGACTGAATCATGACTTAATTCGTTGATAAGTAGTGGTGGGATTTTTCCATCTAATTACAAAATTTATCGTAGAAACTGGTGGAGCTGTCTTTCAGGCCATCCATCAACATTTAGTCTCCAGTGAATTTGAACATGCTATGGGGGATTGCGAAATTATCTGGACTGAAATCAAGGGTCCACATAGGAAATCTAGATCCTGATTGGAACCTACTATAGGCCGCCAAATGACCAAAAGGGTCTCAGTTAGATGAGCTCAGGAAACCTGTTGCCGCCTTGAAGACAAAACTGAACTCCAACTCTGTTTATTTCATGGGAGACTTTACTATTCCTAACATAAACTGGAATGATGGAACAGTTTCCAGTGGGCTAGGATACAGCAAGATGATAGGAGAAAAGTTACTTGACATATCTACAGAATTTGGTCTGACCCAGTGTGTTAGAGAATCTACTAGGTCACAAGGGAATACTCACAATATTCTTGATTTAGTGTTTATGAACAACTTCAGCAGCATTGCTGAAATCGAAGTTGATGGAATTTCTGATCGTGAAATTGTTATTATTGATATCAACCTGAAACTAAGAGAAAAAGGCTGCCAGTTAAAAAGGTCTTTCTTAGACATAAGGCCGACGAAGAAGGGCTTTTGCCAGATGTTCACAATTATCATTCAGACTATGTAGCTCGTGCAACTGGCTGTAAGATTCATCTACAACGTAGCGCGTCACCAGGGACAGTAACATCGCTTCTCTCAAATCATGAATGGCCTACTCTAGAGCAACAAAAAAAATCAGTCAATTAGTCATGCTCAGCAAGATTCTGAATAGCATTGTCGATGTACCTGCAGAGGCTTTTGTCACTACAAACACACGACCATCTCGGGGACACAAATATAAATTAAACCAACTATATGCCGGAACCAGTGCCTTCAGCAACAGCTTCTTTCCACGGGCAATCAAGTATTGGAGTAATCTCTCATCTAATATTGTTGAATCTTGCAAACATCGCATTCAACTTTCAGAGCTGAACTTTTTAAATTGTTCAATGCTTGTAAGTAAGCTACCGAAGACATGGCTAGCTCCGTGCCCCAAACTAAGCCTTAAGTTGGCATGATGTTTCCTGATGGAGGCTTTGGCGACTATTACAATTCAGATTCGGTTCCATTATACTAGGCCTACGGATAACACTTGATACTTCTGTCATGTCTGTGCACACAACAAAGTGTTTTCTTTTGAGGACATGTTATCACTTTCTAATAGCTGTTAGCGTTAAGCCTATAGGCCCATAACATTGTTAGGGATAATTAGTGTAGTCTGTATGTGGAATTCCTTCCTCTAACGTTTCTAGACATGTTCTTGCTTTCTGATGGGTCCTTGTACCCTCAGAGTCAGAGGGTCATGTCAAGCATACATGTGCCAGTATCTGCAGGCTAGTTACCAGTAGTTTGTAAAAATAAATTCTCGTTGTATATTCGCATTGTTCTTTACTTGGAGAATTTGGCAAATGTAATGGCAGTTGTAGGGTGTGAACGATGGGTTGGGGTCACTACAATTAGCTCTTGGTTCAATTATAAAATCATAAAGAGTTTACTTCTTGTTGTATTGTTAGTTATCGTCTTGTAGTTTGTACTATACGTCGGTATCGCCCTAGTTCCGGATAAATACTATCAGGAGAAGAGTATGCTCCTTGCGAAATTGTCAGAGCACCCCTCTTTTACTTGTTTGAAGTTCTATATGCATGTATTCTTGTGACAGGCCAGTTTTGTCCACAGAAAAACTATTCAGTTTGCAAACCTGTGATTTGTCCATGAAACTCTTGAGATTGTTGGCAAAAAATCATTCAGTTGCAAAAATGACCATCTCCGGATCCTCCAGTAGAAACAAAAATGGACAAAAAGCCTTCTTTTTTTGATGCGGTTTTGTAAACTTTTTGTCATTTTGGACCTGCCTGTACATGCTTGTTTGAAAATAATTTTTCAGTGTTGGAAACTTTAGGTCATTGCAAACACAATCTGCAACATGTTTTACACAGACTGGATGTACATGTACATGTACGCACACTACTGATGTTGGTCCAATACCAAACCGAACACTTCATTGCATTCAATACCAGAAAGATTACGGAAGTCTTAAAAAGTGGTCATTGAAGCACAGCGTTGTGGTTTACTGTGGTACTGCCATACGTGGTTGTTGCATTTTTTTTTGCTGGCAGTGGATGATGGACGTGTCGCGTGGACCAGTAATATAAAATATGCAGTAAACGAGTGCACTGTTTGCCACAGTGAGAGAGAATAGTGGAACTATCTCGCACTGAAAACCTTTTCTGTTCAAGACACGAAATTGGAGGCAAATCTTGTAAATGGACATTTTATGTGCTGTGGACTATATCTGTGAGGCTTTAGAAAGGTTGACTTTGGTAAGTGGATGTGATCTTATAATCTTGTCCTCTGCCCAATTGTATGAGAGGACCAGTGCTATTCAAGAGAGCTTGATGCTTTTATACATTTAAATGTTGTACTGTATATGTGGCAATACTAGTAAAATAGCTTGATCACCTCTAAAGTTTCCAAGCCATGCTACCACTTTTTCTGTTATGGCAATTCGATAAGTGTAATGAAGCCTTTACAATGTCACAATTTTCTACATGTAGCATTGTGAACGACATGTATCCGACTTCGAATTAATTCGTCCATTTTTTTTTTACATTTCAGACAGTCAACTTGTGTAGATAAACGATAATAGCTCTCAGCCATGGATCTGTTAAAATCTATCACCCATCCTGATGAAGTTTACGCCCTCCTGAAGTACAAACTCGGAGCAGGCCCCACAAAACCAAAACAGGATTATGTAAGTTTTGTCATCTGTGGGTACCCTACTGTTGCATTGCCATGGTTCTAAAATCTTGGGGCTGTAGGTAGTGACCAGGGTCTGCTTGCAAGAGCTGTGAACAGACCTGTCATGGTTCACATTGCTTTCTGCATATAGTTTGCGCGCGACCAACTTTCAACTTAATTGACACAAATTCCTTTGTACTTACGAGGAAAGATTGAATCCAATAGCGTGCATGCAGCAGTTCCTGCACTGAATGTGCACATTGACATGATTGAGGGTTTTCTTGAGGGAAGAATAAATCTGAGAAAAGACACGTCATGGCGTGCAGTGGTTCCTATATGCAACACATATACGGGATGCACACAGTCAACATTCAGCTGAATGTGCACAAATTCGCAGAAACTTCTTAAGAGGACAGCAAATCTGAGCTTGATGTTTAAGGGTAGAAAGCATACCCGAGCATACCCTAGTCACTCCTGTCATGTTGAGGCAGTACGAATGGTATCCTGGAGCATTGTGGATGATTTGACGTATACATGTAATTGAGGCATGAATTTATGCATGACTGAGCATAACCAACACAAGGTCTAACCCATCCATCGCAGTCATCCACACTTGTTTTGTCATTCTTCCTCAATCCTCCTAAATCCTCCAAAACTACCCAAAGGATTTAGGAGGATTGAGGAGGGTTAGGGCTGAAAAGCTTGGTTTGGCACAATTCATTATAATATCGTTGACACAAAATCCACAATCTGTTGCACAACGGGGCCTACTCATTATGATGCTTTGTGGTCAACAGAGTCAGCAATCGGCAAAACCTTGCAGACTGTCAAAGCAATCTTTTTTCCGAAATCTCACCTTTTCTATATGATTCATATGTGCTTGTACCAGCCTTTGTTCCAGGGTTCTTTTTACTGTCTGTGGTAGGTTAGGTTTGTAGCCATAAAACAAACCATTTCTTTTCTTTTTGATCTTGCTGGTAAATTACACGTGCATGCCAATACCAGCAGAAGTTTCACTTCCTGTTTTACTGCTGCACAAATGCTTTTTTCTAATGCAAATCTCTACATGTTGCTGTTGAGCATGTTTTGAGTCCATGTGTGTAATTCAATGCACAAGTGCCCAGTGCAGGTCGCAAACACTAAACCCACTGGATTCTTCAAAGTGCCCCTGGAAAAGCTTTGAAGATTTTGTAGGATTTAGGAGGCTACATCCTAACCAATATTACTGTGCACGGGGCTTGATTTCAGTAGGAACTGTGAAATTATATCTGTGACAGGACACTACTGTGTCACCTCGTTTCACAAATGTACAGCAAACAAGATAGCATGGATTCACTGGAGATTTTTATAACTTGGAAGACAAATAGAGTCTGAGATTTTCTAAAATTCCATTTTGAAAGGTTGTTTAAGAAATACATGATAATGGATAATGACACAAATTAATCAGAATTGAAAAACATACTGGAAACTAAAGTATGCACTATGCCAAGAGTTATGCATGCATGGTTCTTGATGACGCCCATACAGGTGTACATGTACATTAAATTTCTCTATGCTTTTCATGATAGTAACTACCAGCTACTCCAGGGAAAGTCTGAGAATAGACTTGGAACTCGCCTCTTCCATTCTTCACACAAATCTACAGTTCCTCATCCGTTCTCTGTGGCAGAATACGCCTTCATTAAACAGTAATTTGTTTTCTGTATTAACAGGCGACTATGACCAGAACAGCAAAGAAATGTTACGAATACCTCAATCTGACCAGCAGAAGCTTTGCGGCCGTCATCCAGGCATTGGATGGTGACCTCAGGTAGGAGTTTGTCTGTCTGTCTGCCTGTCGAACTGTTTTTGCCTCACGGAGTTTTTTACCGTGATTCAGTGTGCAGCTGATTAAAACTAACAGCAAGAGAAGTCAGATGGCATTTTTTTTCATTCAAATGAAATGATCAAACAATTCTTGCTGCAGGCAGAAGCACAGATTTGCTAAACCTTTTTGTTACCACTTTCAAACTACAATATGCACATTGTTTCTTTATTTGTAATTTCACATGTACACAAAATTCCTCCGCCTTCCCCCCCCCCAAAACCTGAGGGTCGTGCCATGAAACGACGGTGTGCATGTAGGTAAGGCAGCAGGAAACATGTTTTTGTTTTGGCCTCTGGGAAGGTACTTCGGTACAATTGGCACCTTGAATATTCAAGGCCAAGATAATTTGGTTTTGTTCCAAGACTTACATGTATTTCAGTTCGAGGATGCTGTACACAGTTTCTGCTTCCACTTCTCGTACATGCCACGGTGACTGGTGGTGCATACCATTTTAAATTCAAACCTAAAACATTTCCAGTCAAGTTTTTTAATGGACAAAAGCCAGGCTTCGATTTTCTCTCATAATCCAGACTTTCTGGAAGTTCTTGACTTCTACAATTCTACTTTCTTTTTTTGGGGGGGGGGTAACTTTTGTTGTCCCTTTCTTAAACATAATAAAAAAAAAGTTAACAGTTGACAGCATGCAATCCGATTGATGGTTGCCAAGCATGCAGGAAGTACCTACAGTTTTGGTCATTATATCCTGAGACTGTATTATTACCAACACCCTGTTAAAAGCTATACAGACAGATGGTCCAAGCAATGAACTGGAAGCCGGCTTTTGACAAAAACCTAAAGATAGAAACAAAAGTTGGTTGCTATTGTTAGATACAATGGGCTATTTTGAGTGTCCCTGTACCGTGTACCTGCTTATTTTAGTAATCCATAATGTTATCTTATCAGTTATCTAGTATTCCGATTCGTATCCAGCAACTTCAGTGCCTGGGTGAGCCCTTCAATGATTGGAAGGTGTATTTTTTTTTTTTTTGAATGGTGGCTTTTATCCGACGTGTCCAAAGTCATGACCTAGATTTGAGGGACTAAATTTAGTTTCCAAATTGCTCTTTGAACTGCTAAAAATTCCTCGGCAAATTTGAACAAGAAGCCTGGCATTTTACAGGGATTGTGCACAGTGAATTATTGAAAGGTTAATGGGCTAATTTTTTTTTTGGGGGGGGTGTTGTTTTCGTGCAGTGCAGGCTTGAGAATGTCGCCTTGAGCTGTATTGTGCTTGGTTGCTCATTCATGATTACTGATATTATCGGGGAGATGCTTGCTGCATGTATGATGCCAGACTAGGTCACACAATCTTGTTTCCCTTTTGGTGAGAAAATGCCCATCATGTTTTGAGCAGATCTCATTAGCCATTTCCCAAATCAAGGCTTCATCTGCAGCTAAGGCATCGTCCCCAGCCACAGAGTAGTGCATTTGAACCTTTTATCAGGTGTGAGATTTGTCGGGATTTTTCCAGATTTCAGGACTTTTTCATCAGGGTTTTCAGGATTTTTAAAACAATTTTTGCAAATCTGGAGATATACCTACATGCAGTTTACAGGTACCTTTAACATGTTTAAGGCCTTTTTACGTATAAAAGTTGACATAGAACGCAAGAAATAGGTATTTGAAGGATTACCTACATGTAATAGGCAAGCACAAATGCATACCATAGACCCTACGCTGACGTGGGGCACTCAAAACCTCTGGCGATTATTTTGTGGATATTTCATTTTCCGCTTTTGTTGCCCCTGTTTCATGTTCAAATCGGGCTCAAAAGAGCTGCAAACTGTCCATATTTATATCGAGACATTTTCCAAATCTTGGATTTATCTCTGCTCCTAGTCGCCTGAGTTGAAGCCTTCAAGCTCAACACAGCTCAAACTAACACAACTTATTGTCCAATATGAGACTAACACTTGGGGTCTCTCTGTTTTGGCTCTGACAGGTGACATTTTTAAACCTGTTGTGTGGTTTGAGATGAAGCCACAGACCAAGACGAGAGTCAAGATTAAGAGATAGCCGTTACTCCAGATGACGAGCGGTTCACTCTTGTTTCACATGCAGAAAAGTTGTAAGAGTTAATATATGTAATTGTTATTCCTCAGGCATGCCGTATGCATCTTTTACCTGGTACTCCGTGCGCTGGACACCGTGGAGGATGACATGACAATACCCCTGCCAGAGAAGATCCCGATGCTGCAACAGTTTCATGAGAAGCTGAATGACCCCACTTGGAACTACACCAAGAGCCAGGAGAAGGATCGCATTGTATTGGAAGATTTCCAGACGGTAGGGGGCAGATTTCTTTTGACTTTTGACTGTTTTTTTTTAATCTGCTCATTTAATGTCACACCACTTTGTGCAGTAGGGTCACTGTGGGTGGAGAAAAGTCCAATCATTTGACCTTTAACCCTCATCTCCCAGATGGTGGATGTGGGTCCCCAATAACTGTATTTGGCGTCATCTTCGTCTCTGGCTTCACCTAATTCTTAACCTAATTTTGAAGTCGTTACACGTAGCTCAACATCAGGTAGTGGCACCAGATCACGGAACCAAACATGCAACAGAGCCAAATACTGAAGTATTCTCCATTGAATTTCAAACATTGCCTGCTGGCATTCAGGAATCAGTTGCAGAGATGAACCCCAGTATTGGCCAAATTACCTAAGATTACTGAGCACGCTGAAAGGGGTCATGGAATAGTAACGAAACATACCCGATGCTGCATCCTGCACCAATGCTTGCACGGAGTCAGTCTCGCCCCAAGGACTGGTTCTACTGTTTTTTGCCGGTGCGTGCGCCGTGCAGGCGACATGCGCTGGCGAGCGCAGCTGAATAGCACTACCAGCAGAGGGCGCTATATTCACAAGAGACGACCTGCCACAAAACCGGTCTTGTAGAATCTGGCAGGCTTACCCAAATATTCCGAGCATACCTCACGCGCTCAAGTTCATGAATAACAATGCAGTGCCGAAGACTGCGTACCATGCCAACTGCGGTTTTTAGCAGTGCGCATGAGCAATTATTCATAGTAATTCATGAGCGTGTGACGTATACTCGGGCAAGCCTGCCAGATACTACATGACTGGTTTTCTGGCAGGTCTTCTCTTGCGAATAGAGCGCCCTCTACTGGTAGTGCCGTTTGGCTGTGCTCGCCAGCGCATGTCACCTGCACGGTGCACCGGCCAAAGAAGTAAAACCAATCGTTGGGCAAGACTTGCAGGGAGTCGCCCATGGGACATTATAAAGAAACCCGTGCCAATCATCCCATCCCAATAATAATGTTAACAGCGTTGGGTTTTCTCGCCATGTTCAGATAGCGCAAGAGTTCAGAAGTCTTGCCAAGTGCTACCGCGTGGTCATCGCCGACATCTGCAACAAGATGGGGCACGGCATGTGCGAGTTTGTCCAGCGAGATGTCGTGACCAATAAGGACTGGGACCTGGTGAGAAGACTGCACATGTCAGCAGAGATTGGTTGCATTTATCAGGCCGGTCTTAGCCGAGTTTGTATGCTCTGTACACACACTCTGGTTGTCTCAAGTAACTTCAGTGCCATGTCATTAATACCCTTTATTTTCGTCCTTGCACAGAGCGGATAGTGACTTTCAGTACCACATTCTGCCCTTTGCAAAAATAGGTCAAGACGATACCATACTCCCAGTGCTCTCTGAACACTATTTGTGGAAAGATTTCATTAGATTACTAAAATCGGACTCAAGTAGTTTAGATCCAGGACCTTCTGCATCATAGGGCAGGTATCTTGGACACCTACAATCCTGGACAAGTCTTGTTGGAACAAGCCTTCCCCCTCGCCCCCTGTCAATGTTGCTTCTCATTGGGTAAGTTGGGTTGAATCTTGGTCCAGTAAATGACCGCAACATTGAATGGGGCAGAGGGGGGATCTTTTCAACGCGCTTCCCACAAGGCGTCCCAACTATTTTGTCCAAGATTGTAGTCCAAACACTTGCCGTAAATTGGCGTGACCTATGTTTGAGATCGTGAGTTTGGATCATTCTGTGATCTCTTCCTGCTCCAGTACTGTCACTACGTGGCGGGCCTGGTGGGCATCGGGCTGTCCCGTCTCTTCTCCGCCTCCAAGCTGGAGGATGCGATTGTTGGTGAGGACACCCAGCTGGCAAACTCCATGGGCCTCTTCCTCCAGAAGACCAACATCATCCGAGATTATCTAGAGGACAACCTGGAAGGGAGGGAATTCTGGCCCAGAGAGGTACCTTTCACCTTTAACCCCTTCACCCTCGACCTATGAATCGCTAGTTCACATCTTCACCCTGCACCCGTTAGACTAGCGCCGTAGAACATTCTACTTCTGTAGTCAGGCCCATTACAAATCCTAACAAGTCCTTGAAAGTGCATTGCAAAAGCCTCATGCCAAGCTACATGCATCCAGATTTATTGACACAACAGAATTCCTTTGAACAGTCACTGAAAGACGCCAACAATACATGAATTGCAGGGTTCAAACTCCTAAGCTTTACAGATATCCGTACCACTTGATTTTAGACATGGAGTAAGTACGCCTCCAAACTGAGCGACTTTCAGAAACCCCAGAATCTCAACTCAGCCGTCCACTGTCTGAACGAGCTGATTACCAACGCCTTGCATCATGTCCCTGACGTCCTGAAGTACATGTCAAGACTTCACAACCAGAGCGTCTTCAATTTTTGTGCGATCCCACAGGTGAGGACTTTGGATGAATTATATCTGGGTTTACTCCATATACATCGTCCAGTCCTGTGCCCAGGATGTTCTCATTAATGTCACACTGTACAGAATCTGCAATCAGGATATCCAGTGTTACACCACACACCTTCAGGTCCTGCACCTAGGCTAAGTCATGATATTTCCAAGTCAGGAGATCCCAGGTCGTATCATTCAACCTTCAGATCTCCCACCAAGAATGTCCTGGACAGAGTAGGCAGTTACTTAAAGCACATTGGCATGGACTGTAGAGGTGAACCTCAGTAATATGAAGTGGAAGTGACAGAGCTGACTGTTTGTACAAATCTTGAGCCCCCGTCTCCCAAACAATAGCTGAAACCAGAAATCTTTCCTTGCTGGTAGGTTATGGCAATTGCCACTTTAGCCGAGTGCTACAACAACCCCAGGGTTTTCAGTGGCGTTGTTAAGATTCGGAAGGGGCAGGCAGTCGTCATGATGCTTGAAGCAACCAGCATGGACAGTATCAGGACGATCATCAGCAACTACAGTAGACAGGTAAGAGTGTGATTGGATCATTTAGTTAGGATGGGAGATGGTAGTTAGAGTGGGTTGGTTATAGTTTATTAATTAGTTTCCTTCTGATCAGCATGGTCTTCAAGAAGATCCAAACATTGACAGCATTAGGACAATGACCTTTGACGGTAGCAGGCGTGGGATAAAAAGGACTGATTGAGTTTAGTTGGGTAGGATTTTGAGATCTGTCAGGGTCTTGTGATCTTCGCAGTTAAAAGAAAGTTTCATTACAGATGTCAGCAGGAGGTAGGATGATCTGTTATTTTCACATCAGGATAGAGTTGACAGATGGAGAAGCTGGGATAGGGCTTTGGACACTTCCACTGCCTCAAAGATTGGTTTAGAGATTTCCTGTAAAAGCCTGCTCTTATTCCTGGTTGGAGTTGAAGGAGGATGATGCTTGATACGGGGTCAGAGGTTGGGCTGTGATATCACGCTGGGGTTCACGCAAGAAATCCCGCAGTAGTCGTCACCAATCACAGGTAGTAGATGAGGAAAAAGTACATGTACGTCACGTTTACTTCAAGACTTGATAACGACCACATCCTCATGTATCTTGACTGCTCTTCCTAGATCGGCAAAGCCATACCCAGTGTCGACCCATCAGCCGAGCTGACCAAGAGGATAGTGACCACCAACCTGGAGCTGAGTCACACCGCCGCCGGCCAGTTGGCCACAGCCAGCTACTACCCACCCCTCTACATGTCCCTGGGAATCATGCTGGCCCTGATCCTGTACAGTTACGGGAGTCAGATACTCCATTATGTAAATTCCTAAAGATAAGCGGATTTCGCTGGATCAGTGTATCAGTCAAACAGATTAGCTTGCTTTGTATGTAAGGGAAGAGGCCTGACAACGGCTCCCTGCTCCTTTTAAACCTTGCGATCGTCTTGTCTCTGATTCAAAACAAGTGTGGCAGTCAGCTACTTCACAGTGTAAATTCCTAAGCACAAATTAGTTCTAGCTGTCTAAATATAACAACCAAACTGTCTCGGTGCTGTCACGCACCTCGTCTGGGAACTGTACCCCAATGAACTGTGTTTAGTGTGGGATTTTATCAGTTCACCTCTTTGTTTTGCAATTCTAGAAGGGGGCTAAGGAAAGGCATGTGAATGGTGTTTTCTGTTATTGTCCACTGCACGCATCTGACAAAATGAGATGCTGTTTGACGATTGTGTGTATAGTCCGCAGTCTGAAGCATGATGCTCTAGATGCATGCATTGTAGTGATTACTTGGACTGTAGTCAGTTTCATCACAAGTCATCACAAGCCTCTATATGTCCATAATATTTTAACCAATCTTCAGTAAAGACAATGCCTTTGTCATAGTCCATCCAGCTACCTGTGACTGGTCTTGTGACTGGTCCTGTGACTGGTCTTATGTCTGGTTTTGTGGGTGGTTTTGTGACTGGTCTTGTGACTGGTCTTATGTCTGGTTTTGTGGGTGGTTTTGTGACTGGTCTTGTGACTGGTCTTATGGCTGATCTTTTTATTGGTCTTGTGACTGGTCTTTGGACTGGTCTTCTGACTGGTCCTGTGACTGGTCTTGTGACTGGCCTTGTGACTGGTCTTGCAGCTAGTCTTGTGACTTGTCTTGTGGCTGGTTTTGTGAATGGTCTTATGTCTTGTGATATGATGGACTTGACTACAGCCCTTGGGATTATTCTGTTTAGAAAACTCTTTATGTTGGCAGTAGATATTCAGTCCAATAGTGGGATTTTTGCGATTAATGAAGGTCAAGGATAGCCATTATTTTCTGAGAGCATTTACAAAGCATGAAAGTATTAAAATGTTTGAAAAATCAGGAAATGTTCTGAATGTGTATTGTATGCAAGGTCAGGATGGTAGTGTACAGATATTTGATGAACATATCCAGCTTATTGTATTCTGGAAATAATCATTTGATCAACAACTACTTTGTGCACAAGCATTGAGTTAATTACAGTTTCCCTGTCAAGAAAGAAATGTTCAGTTGTGAAAGAAAATTGTAGATATTAAACTTGGTACACATTAATATATGTAGATGGCAAGCAGATGTATTAAAATGACTCAATAACAAGACTCACATTTTTGGTTGATGTTTCAAATGTATTTGTTCATTTATTAGTATGGAGTTCAATTAAATACCTAATTGAAAGACGAGCCCAATTCCAACAAAACCTTTTGTTTTAGTTCAAAGAGTAAAAACAGTATCTTTTGAAGGAGCTGCAAAGGAAATCAATTAACTCTCCTAGGCAAGAATGGTGGATTTCGTTCCTTTCTTTCAATTATTGAGGTATTCAATTGTAAGTCTTACTTCTTTTTCAAACACATGCATTTACAAAATTGTAAAATACTTTAAAGACTCGAAAGTGTGAGCTTTGGTTTCCGAAGGTTCGGATGCATAATTCTCTATTCATAGTGCAAAGTTCATGTACAGCTTGCACGAGGTTAAATTAACAATCCTCATCCACACAGGGGACGAGGTTCTTTGACCATATTTGCGACATAGCGCCCTCTTTAGTTTTTTGTTTGATAAGCCTCCGGATATCGACTTCTTCTCTAGATGCACCGACCTCTTTTGATTTGTAGGTCTATCCCCTTCTGCCTGAATAATGTATTATGTATTTCTGCAACAGACGCATAGCTTTATCAAAATATGGAAATATTTTTCAACTAGATTAAAATTTTAGGCCTGTCGGATGTTCAGGAAGGAAGTCTTCGACGGAGAGAAACCAACTTTTTAAAGGACAAAACCCGCTAACGCGTCGATCCGGTGACGTTGGGGGCGCCTTAGAATATCGCTGATCCACATCATTTTGTAATACTGTTATTTTTTAATTTTGCGCCATTCCGTCAGCCATTGGTTTGTAAGTGGCCATGAAGGTAAACTATTTTAATACGGGCGTTTCACAATAGTGCGCCTCCAAGAGTTTGCAACGCGTTGACCAATCAAAGTACAAGAAATCTGTCGACCCAATGGGCGTTTGGAAAGAGTCGACAGATGTCTTGCACTGTGATTGGTCAACGCGTTGCAAACTCTTGGAGGCGCACTATTGTGAATCGCCCGTATTAAGTCCCATTTCGTATTCTGGTGACGTAACTGGAAAGAAAATGTGGAAATTAAGACAGACTTGGCACCAGGCAGGTCAATTCTCCTTTGCAGCAGTAAAGGAGTTTGGGACACCTACCAGTCTATTTTCCTGCATTACATATCAATAAGCATGACTTTTGAGACTCTCCCGATGAACGCAGACGGTATTACCTATTGGGAGTGCTAACCCAAATTTCCGGACAACCCAGTCTCCATTGTGGCCGAGTTTTGGCTTTGCCCTCGACGGGAGATTAAGCCTGATGATCGCCCAGGGGAATCCATCCACACGACCACCAAGGATTTCATCTTGTCCTCCTTGAAAGGCCGAAGATTCATGACTACAGGTTGGGTGTGTTTTGAGAGGTAACCACCAGCATGCATAAGAACGTTTTTTGGTCTTCCCCTTGTCTTCAAACTAAACCCATCTGCTCCGAATCGAATTTGCACAGAGCCAAGCTGTTTATAGACACCCGAGATTGACCACCATCCGCCCCGACCAAGGTTGGTAAACGACTCTTAAAAAAGAACATCACAAAAACCACCGGAAGTGCGGTAAAGTTGTATGATAAATAAAACCAGTTTCACATTGCCAAATTGACCACTGCACATCATCATTTAATTATCTATTACACTGTAACCCGGATGTGGACAGTCGGCTTGTATACCTGTGATTGTTCAGATTTGGTCTTTATTATGTACTATTTTTGTGGAGAGGAATAGGCATAACGCCTCTTTGATCTCAATAATTATGAATATGTATGTAACTTGTTGAAACGGAACAAAGTCCAAGCTGCGTTTAAAACACGCCTTGACAACGTGAACCGTGACATCACGGTTGAAAGTCATCCCTTTGCCTTTGTGAGTTAAGATCACACCTGACACCTGGGTCCCCAAAGAGAGTGGATTCCATTTAACGAGCTATCCGAAGCATAATATCTTGTCTCAATTCACTTCTTTAAGTTGGCATTCCACTCTTTGCTCACTTCTGTTCCATTAAGGTTTTCCATAGGTCCTATGCCCTGCATCCACGGGCCCAGCATGCCTTCGACGTACTGATATTTCTCCCCATTGTTTTGCGCAGACGAACTACGCAACATCTTTGTGTTATTTTCCAGTTAATGGGGGGGGTAGCTTCTCTTGCGCTATGTCAAGTTTAGAGTAGAGAAAAGTGCTACAGAGAAAAGCTTGTCGCTTAATTCATAGCTCCATGCTGTCTGCGCTGACAAACTGCGCTTGAATCCTGAGGTATAGGCCTGAGAGGGAAAAATCACACTGATCAACAAATCAACTCGAATCAAGTGGAATATCTGCCAAGCAAAATAAAGTATCCATGCTTCCTTAAAATGTCCTCCTCGATTTGACAGAGCGGTTACCGCGGCATTAAGTTGTTCTAAAAAGAGGATTAGGCTAGGGGTTCGGCAAGTTTCATTGTGTGGTTTGTACTGGTGACTTATTTTGGTTTTACCGATCGAGCGCTGTTATTTCTGATATTAAATGATGTGAGAGGTTTTCTTCTTTACCAGGTTGAAAACCACGAAAGCCTCGTACTCACAGGTTGCTTTTAAATATGAGCAACTACTGAACTGCTTTCTTGCGGCTGTGAATAACGCACTTACGTATAGAAACTACCAGTTAATCGGCTACACTCTCTTTTCTCGCAGATGCGAGTGTTATTTTGAGCCACAGCCAAATAAACGTAATTCACACGCTACCCTTTCGATTCCTCTACAACTTGCAACTTACGACTCTAGACAGGGTCGACAAGGTGAGGGCGCTGTTCTCTCACCCAGTTCAAGCTCTGATCCACTGCAGTTTTATGACTCGGGTGTTGTTGCACAGGTAAGTGCAAAATTTTTGGTCACCATGTTTTAAGCGATTCGTTATTAGTCAACTACAGTTAATTTCTTCAGTTGTCTTTTCTTGATTTCATGTAACATGCAAGAGAAACTAGAATAAAGTCCCTGAGTGGGGAAAAAATCTACAGTTAACTTCACATACTTTATGAATTCAGATAAAACCTGAGAACATACCTCTGTTGTTGTTAGCCTTTTAGCTCGTTTTGTTTTATAATACATGTAACCCGCGACCTATTGTGAGCACTGCCTTTCACACCAACCGCGTAAACCACACACAGCAAATTATTTCAGCACACAGGATCCAAACGACCAACCCAAAACAAAAAACACCTTTATGGCCACGGAGATCAAAGTGCACCGCTCCATTGTTTGCGCACAAAATTAAGGGCAAAGTTTACTCCTCCGGATTACTATGTATCCACTGCAGGATGGTTTGTTTTAAGACCACAGAGTATTATACCACGGGATCGTTCGATCGGCAACCTTTTTGAAACAAGGCTCGCTGTGTTTGAATTAAAGTTATACAGTTGGGTGGGCAAAACACTAATTAATCGGCTCTGAGGTATTAATTAGTTAAGTTGCAGGCGTGACTGAATGGGTTGTTGTGGCGGTGCTTTGTCGCCATTCGATGGGGGGGGGGAGTATTCGCGTTTAATTTGGTTAAATGGAACCTTGTACTTCACAGCTTAGACAATATATAAATGCAAGAACAACACTTAAAAAAATTGCCTATCAGAAGCAAACTACAGAATGCGATTTGTTTTAAAGATTACCGCATGCGCAGACACCTTCCTCCTTTGACTTGTTTAGATAATTTTCAACAAATAGTTGACACTTGTACACAATTTTCTGCGGGACTATACCACACTTCAGTTTTGTGCTACCTCCGTGCAGAAGTGGCAGCAAGTCATTTTTTGCAAGTCCAAGCCAAGTCACAAGTCATTATATGCAAGTCCAAGCCATTATATGCAAGTCCAAGTCAAGTCACGAGTCATTTGGTCTAAACACAAGTCAAGTCACAAGTCTCTTTGTCCAACTACAAGTCAAGCTGCACATTATTTTGTCCAGCTGAAATAAGCAAAAAGAACCAGGTGTCAACTTACGAAGTTACGAGTTATAAAACTATATGGGGCCGGTCGAGTAGCGTCTGACTTTGGTTGGTAACATGTCATTTTTGCAAGTCCAAGTCAAGTCACAAGTCAAGCTGGTATTTAGTCACAAAAACAGCGACTGGAGTCCGACTCGAGTCCAAGTCACATGACTCGAGTCAGCAACTCTGCCTCCATACATTCCAAATTGAATTAGTTGACACATTTTCATAGCCAGTCAAGTTTTGAGGCTATGAGTCACGGTTCCGAAGTAAGCTAAAAACGATCGTGGAGCAAGACATTCTTTATGAAGTGAACCATTCTTTCTGCAATATGAACACACAAAGGATTGCGTTATCACCTCTCCCCATCCACACAATGTTAACAGCATTTTCATTCAGAAAAGGGGTGAAAAAAGGGGCGTCCAACTGTCAGGTTTTTTAAGTTTTCGAATGCAAAGTTCGTGTATTTCGCATGTGTAGTAGGCCTATTAGACCGGTGTGGTCGAAAACTTGCAACTAAAACTGCGTCCGTGGGCCCAGAGTGTTAGTATGGGCATGGAGGTATGGGTGCGCGGACAGTGTCCGAAATGACCGGAGATGTTATCCAGATCCTCCTCACAGTAATACCCCTAGGACTCTGTCCTGGTCCGTGGCACCCGTAGGCCTACCCACGCGCCGCTCCAAACATGGTGATTATTTACATCAAGACATTCCTTTTACATCCACTCCAGCTCAGCGACACTAGAAAGATAAGACCATTGATTAGAGGAGAAATGCGCGATAGCAGTGACGAAGAGGAATATGGTCGCGTGGCACGAAAGCGCACATCAACCCTGATCCCTTTGTTCCTTGCAGAAAAAAAACAGAGTGCCCACAACAAATACCATTGAACGTTTCTTTAAAATCTCTCGCTCCCATATCACGGAGCTGAAGGAGATATGTAGATCAATGTCAACTCTAACTTCAATTTCATCGTGAACGACACCTCAAAAGTTAATGAAGACAGTAATTCAGTATCCTAATCCATTCACACCGTGCAGTTTACTTGACAACAAAACTTTCATAATATATAATGCTTACATTATTCAATCTTAATAGAACCATAACTCCAATAACATGTTTTTAAAAATGTTGCATTAATTTAAGTGCCAGCGTACCGTCCCTACTACGAATCCAATGGTGTGAAAGGCTGTTACATGCAGTTAAAATCGATCTAAAACTGTTGAAGAAATGCTCGCAAATTAATAAAAACGTTGTTGAAGGTATAACCCCATTACACGGTATAGATTACGATGTCCGATTGCGTCATTAAAGGGCTTCAACATTTTAAATACAAAGTGGCAATTAAAAGTTATTGCCCGGGTTGTATGGGTTATTAGAGTGGAGTATGCATGCAGGAAACGATCATGCAAAAACAGTGATTGGGTAAAGTGACATTATTTAGGCAAACCGAAATATTGCATCTAAAAACACCGCAGCTCAATATTTCGGCAGGACTAGTTAAATTTGCTCAAGTTATGGAAATGAACAAATATTGAAGATAACGAGGGCCAATCCGAAACGACTGGCGATGTAGCACGGCTCCGGACGACACGCTCTGCGAAAAACCAGAACGCATTCCAATAAAAACGGGCACCAAGACGCGCTTGACAATGGGGACTCCTTCTGGCTGCTGCACTATTTGGTGCGTGACCCCTCCCTACATACACACACACCTACCCGTGATGATGGATTGCTTTCCCCTTTCATATCAAAATGTGATACCGGCATACAGTTTAATTAGATAGCCGCTTGGCCCTTATACAACGCAAAACGCGTCCCTGAGAATTGAGTCCATGTCAAATAATACAAATGGAGAAAATGTGAGGCTCGGTCGGGGGATGCATATTGCATGTTTCGTTGATATGAAACATGGGTTCGGCTAAAGTTTTCTTCTCATAAGTTAGAGCCCTGGGAGGGAAGCACTTGTCTGGACGGGTGGGGCTGTTCTGTATCTCCCAGTACGCCACAGTAAATGTCACAGTACGACAGTTAAGTGTGAACTGATTTCAGAGTCTCTTATTTTATTTGCCAGTTTCGATGGCCAAGTTCTTTCTTTATTTTTGGTCATTGACCTAGCTCACGCCCTCTTTGAAAGATCTCTTAGATATTACAACGGATTAAATAGGAAGAACCCTAAATAACAAGCTCTGTAGTTCAGCTTTGCGGTTCTCCAGCTGTTTACAAAGAAAGAATTGCTTTTGATAGTAGGGTTAAAAACCTGACAAACGTTGAATCTCTCAGCAGTAGAGTTGATCGTTAGGTTGATCGTTCTCCATTTCGTTGGCTAGTAAGGGGGGTGTAGTCGCGCGAAACGTCTCGCAACCTGCCCCTTTTTGTGTTTTCCTCGATAGCTTTTGTCGTGATAGAGTTCTGATCCGTAAAATGCACACCGTCAAAGTTGCCGCTAAAACCGCACATTTGGTTCCCAATATAACAAGCAACAAGTCCTGTCACGGGTCTTAACCGTGCGATGAGGCTTTAACGGTGTCCAATGTTTACGCACTTTGCCATGTCGGCTGCCATTGTTCGCATAAAGAAAACAATACGTCAACGGGTGAATGTGACAAAAATAAATCATATGTTCCGGGTTGTTTAAGATCCATTTCCAAACGATATTGCCTATCAGAAACAAATATATACATCCACCTTCTGTGACACTGGTGACACATTAATCTCAATCAGCGTTATCAAATTGTGGTCTAATTAAACCGTTTAACCAAACTCGAATGAGAGGATAAAAACGAGGGGAAAAGTACACTAAACTATGCAGCAGACTTTTATATCACACTCTTAACAGATAAATGCCGGGCTTTTAATTGCCAGGTATTTCCCTATCGTTGGGCAAACTTCAGCCAGAGAGAAGCCCATAGTCAATGCCCGTCGCCCGAAATGATAATATTATGGTATCATGTAATAATGACAGATAGTTTTATGATGGATATTCCAGGGAATGCTCGAGCAGTATCGGTAATAGTAGGCATATATCTGTGGCAGCCCATGGGCCGTTTCGCTTAGTTCAATCCTGGATTACGGAGAAGCAGGAACATGGCTGCCTGGAGCAAGATTTTCCCACGTTTGCTTGTTCATGGTAGAACGGTTTTACTTTTGAATTTGCTCGGACCAACTGGATCCGGGGATATGGCATACAGACAATCTGGTAAGCTCATTTTGCTCAACCATCAAATAAATATTACGGATACAAGGCTATTTGGGGCAATTCCAAATTTATCTGTCGGCCTGCTCCTAGAGACGTGTTGCGCACATGGCAACACAGGCTGACTTTCGTGACGAAATCTGTACAAGGCTTGGCCTGCAAAAATACAGATATCTGTATACCAGCTCTATGCATCAATTGTAAGTGAGGTAGATGGCTTCATTTGTGAAGCACTTCTAGGTTTGTTTCGGTAGGTATATTTTCTATAAAACGTGTGCCTTTCTCGGGTGGAATTGGGACACAAATTAGATTCATAAAAAAGAGATGCAGACTGCTTGCCCAAGATTTCCCGAAAACAATGCACCTTCTCCAGACGGCAAACTCGACAGTTGATGAAAACCAAGCCGATAAGTATTCCGGCCCTTATCTCTCCAACGCCGGGTTCGCTTTCAAAATAATAGCGATGACCCAGCTCCTCGCGACTGGGATGGGTCTCTGGAAACGTGCGCGACCCCGGATCGGAATTCCCGCACGGCCTATTTTGGCGAATTGGTCTCGTTTTGTTGTCCAACAAATCTGCCTGTCAAGTCGAAAAGTGATATTCATGTTTATGTCAGACGCTCTCTTGTGTGGAACCTTCGACCATGACCTAGGCGAATCCAGGCTTTTGGAACCAAAGAATGAAAGAGAAGACAGA